GTATGTGTGAATATCATTAATTACAGCTGCATCTAATATGCATAATTTAGCACTTTATGGATTTGCCCAAATATCCAAATGGAATGTCACAAAATTTCTTATAAGTGCTGTGGTCTGTGTCCCAATGATTAGATGGGATCATAGCCTGGATAGGTGTGCTTTTTTTTTTAACCTACACAATTGTACTAAAAATTGGCAGGCATCTTGCTTATGATCTCTTGGAGTATATTTGTCTTCTGCAAAGGAACTCCTGACAGAATAAGAATAAAATAATAACAGAGTTGGAAGCCATCTTGGAGGTCTTATAGTATAACCCCCTGCTCAAGCAGGAAACCCTTCACCATTGCAGACAAATGGTTGTCCCATGCTGACAAAGCATAGAGAAAACATAGAGAATAGCAATAGCATTTAGATTTATATATGGATTCACAGTGCTTTACAGCCCTCTCTTAAGAGGTTTACGGAGTCAGTATATTGCCCACAACAATCTGGGTCCTCATTTTACCAACCTCGGAAAGATCGAAGGCTGAGTCAACCTTGAACTGTTGACAGTCGGCAGAATTAGTTTGCACTACTGCATTCTAACCACTGCACCACCACAGCTCTTCTGAATGTTGTCCAAATGCTGGCAAAGTATAGAGAAAACAGGATATTGGACACCAAATATTCAGAACAGATCAAGAGCTTCTAAGATCATCTTCTCTATTACTCAATATAGGACTATCTTCATATGTGCATTCACAGTTTCAGAGTCCTGGAGGTGGTCCAATATCTGAGTCAAGGCAGAGCTTCAATACGCCCTCACAATGAGGAAGGTATACTCATTTTTTGGTCTGATGATGAAGCTGAATGCCTTCATCATTGCCTGTTGCTGTTGTTGTTAGTCATGAAGTCATGTCGGACCCATCACGACCCCATGGACAATGTTCCTCCAGGCCTTCCTGTCCTCTACCATCCCTAGGAGTCCATTTAAGCTCACTCCTACTGTTCAGTGACTCCATCCAGCCACCTTGTTCTCTGTTGTCCCCTTCTTCTTTTGCCCTCAATTGTTCCCAGCATTAGGCTCTTCTCCAGTGAGTCCTTCTTTTTCATTAGGCGGTCAAAGTATTTGAGTTTCATCTTCAGGATCTCGCCTTCTAAAGAGCAGTCAGGGTTGATCTCCTCTAGGACTGACCGGTTTGATTGCCTTGCAGTCCAAGGGACTCTCAGGAGTCTTCTCCAGCACCATAGTTCAAAGGCCTCAATTCTTTGGCACTCAGCCTTCCTTTTGGTCCAACTTTCACAGCCATACATTGCAACTGGGAAAACTATAGCCTTGATTATATGCACTTTTGTTGGCAGGGTGATGTCTTTGCTTTTTAATATGCTGTCTACATTTGCCATAGCTTTCTTCCCCAGGAGCAAGTGTCCTTTAATTTTTTGGCTGTAGTCCCCATCTGCAGTGATCTTGGAGCCCAGGAAAATAAAATGTGACACTACCTCCATTTTTTCACCATCTATTTACCAGGAATTGAGAGGGCCAGATCATCATTGCTTACCCTCTTCTTAAAGGCAACTTTTTTTTATCTTTAGAGTTACATCAACATAGATTTAAATGGAACCTATTAAATATGTGCATACCCAGAGAGGGTGAGTCAGCCCAGAGGAGAGAGATACCAATGTACTGCATGCATGTTTCTGTGTGAGCGTGTAGCTAGCTATTGAAACCGTGGGCCATGTGAATGGCATGCTTTGTGCATTATCCCACACAGCACAGGATGTTCTGGCACTCTGCATCTCACGTATGCGATTCTAAATCTTTCGGGTGTCAGAGGTTGGCCAGAAAGCAAAAAAATGTGTTAAACAAAAGTGCTACTATTGGGAGTGTCATTTTTAAAGAAATGTTTTATGGATTCCACATTTTATTGAAACAATTATGCCATATATGGTCAATGCTATGAGTGTCCCCCTCTTAAGCTTAACATTCCAAACAGCATCCTTCCCAGCCTTTTGGGATTATATCCCAACACTGAAACATTCCTCCTCAAACTTAATTCTCATTTGTCCCAATACCAGTGCTGACCTTACATATATAGCATGTTTTGCATTATACTACTTGATCTCATCGCAATGAAATTGAAAGCTGAGCTCTCAAGATTTTTTTTTAAACATGATAAGCCAAGGCCCTACTATGACTGAAATCTACAGAGTAATGTTGATAGCCGTGGTGGTGCAGTGGTTAGAATGCAGCACTGCAGGCTAACTCATTGCTCATTCCAAAACTTTGATTCTGACTGGCGCAAGGTTGACTCAGCCTTTCATCCTTTCGATTGGTAAAATAAGGACCCAGATTGTTGGGGGCAATATGCTGACTCTGTAAACCTCTTAGAGAGGGGGTGTAAAGTGATATATAAGTCTAAGTGCTATTGCTATAGCAGTGTAATCACACAACGGGGCTATTTTTTCAATATGTAGCATGATATATCACATGTTGACTCAGACGTGTGTTCCAGGGATCACAGTGCCACTTATTATCTCATTAGGACATACAAAAGCAGCTACTGACTCTTAAATCAGGTTAAAAAAAATATTCTGTATCGTGCAATATGAAAGTGTGTATATAGGCACAACTGCACATGCATGTCTGTTTTAAAATGAAAGCTTTAACTTGTAGAACAAAAAAACCACATTAAAAATGCATGTGGATGTACAATTTATTTAAATACACAAGATTACAAATTTTTACCAACATAGAATGGAACCCACTGTATGTGTAAACCAAAGAGTGGCAGCAGCTTTTGTTTAGAAAACCATGTGTTACTAACAATAGTTAAAATGTAAATTCTGAATCTTAAGAAATACACACATGTAAGCCACCTATTTAACATATTAAGCTTTTGATTTGCCACGGTATTCTTTTCCCTCACCTTTTCTCCTATGCTTTGTCTCAACCAATGCACTTGGGCCACAATGAAAATAAACTCGCCTGAGTTCTCTGTAATAGGAGACAAGCTTTTACACACTTCTGCACCACGGGGAAGGCTCCTGGGATACCTACAGAGAAAAGGCATGCCCACTGAGCATGCCCAGACTATTAAAACAAATTGACATGTTAATACTGACAGAAAAAAGAGCACCAGAGAGTTTGCTAAATTACTGCTCAGTCAGGCACTAGGAATTCCTGAGTGGCCCATCCTTGAGCAAAACCTGCATCGAGAGGGGTGTGGGAGGAAAACAGGGAGGAAAATTGAAACTTTATTGTCAAATGCTGTAAAACAAACAAAACCTGAAGGGATGCCACGTTTGTAATACACCTAGTCATAAATCATATGGATTTTAATCATACCTGCCACATCAACCAGCATTCCCTTGAGAAATTCTTTTTCTTTTCGGCTTCCCTCCTTCGCTCGCTTTCAATTATCTGGAAGCTGTTTCATGTGTTTACTTATTTATCTAAAGTTCACCTACTGCATGCGTGCACAGATTGTCTCTCGGGGATAGGGAGCAGGGAGAACATGCAAAGAGGTGGCAAGAGCAGAGGCACCAAGGCTACAAAAGCAAAACAAAAGAGAAGAAACGTTGCCAGGCCTGGATGACAAGAAGGGGAGGGAGGAAAGCAATTAAGCAATTAAGAGGCATCCTGTGCAGTGCCCAATTATCGCATTGTCCTCTGTCCACCTACATTTTAGATGCCAGGTAGGTGGGCAAGTAAAGGGACCATGGGTAAGCTGGTGGAAAAAGGGATGTGGTGGCTCAGGGGCTAAGACGCTGAGATTGTTGATCAAAAGGTCGGGCAGTTCAGCAGTTCAAATCCCTAGTGACGCATAACAGGGTGAGCTCCCATTACTTGTCCCAGCTTCTGCCAACCTAGCAATTCAAAATCACATAAAAAATGCAAGTAAAAAAATAGGGACCAACTTTGGTGGGAAGGTAACAGCGTTCTGTGCGCCTTTGGCATGTAGTCATGCTGGCCACATGACCACAGAGATGTCTTCGGACAGCGCTGGCTCTTTGGCGTTGAAACAGAGATGAGCACTGCCCCCTAGAGTTGGGAAAGACTAGTACATATGTGTGAGGGGAACCTTTACCTTTACCTTTGCCAGTGGAATGACAAACCTAAACCCAAGATGCTCTCTGGGAAAAGCAATGTTGCATGCTCCTTGTACATGCACTTCTTCCCCACATATAACCATTGTACATTGGCATCCTTCAGTCTCAAGAGATTATGGTATCATGCTCTGGAAAGAGGTCCTAAAACAGCATCTAGTGTGACTAAAAAGGCCAATTCGAGAGTGGCAATCCCTTCCACACTGAGGGCAGATACATTCTATCCCTTGCCCAGCCCCCAGATTTCGCTTGCTCCGGGACTGCCTCTTTGCCTGAGGCAAAGACATATAACCAGAAACCAGAATTTGGTTAGCTATAGTTTTTTTTTCCCCTCTAAAAGTCCAAATAATGCTAGAAGCAAGATGTGTTGTGCAGAACTGACGGGAAGGAAAGATACCTCACCCCCCACCCCCCAAGTACCTCCTCTGAGTTATGAATAACAGGTGGTACCAAGCAGTATCTGCTGGTTAAAAAAATAGCATGTTTGCTTAGCTGCTTCCACCATCACTGGGCCCTAGTTGCTCTTCTGCAGGGCAAAACAGGAATCTCTGAAAACCTCCCAGGAGGACAAAAAAGGTTAAACACCACTTCTTGGGAAAAGTTGCCACTCCCCCTTGATTTGCTTCTAGGAGTAGGGAGAAGTCCTGATCCCATCATACTTAGCTAGCTAACTGGAGTTAGCTGATGTGAGTTGGCACAGTGCAAAAAAATCCAACACAAGGGGGAAAAAATCCAACACAAGGTTGAAAGGGAATAGAGACTACTTAAATGATTGAATTTGGAGGCTGCCAAACTCCAAAATGCATCTGTGTGGCTTCCAATTTATAACAAAAGAACCATATGATATCTGAACAATATCCCATATAACAAAACACTATCTTATCATAAGAGGGGCATCAGCAATATTATTTATATCACCACTTATTTATTAAACGACACCACATCTGACAATTCATCTGGTAAAGACTTATGTGAACTGCATATATGCAGAGGTAGGGACTTTCAGATGTGACACTCTGGACCCTGGCAAACTGTAACTCACAGCAATTCCATGGCCAATGATGAGGACTGGTAGAACCTGGGACTCCAGCAGTTGGGTATACAGTTAGGAGTTCCATGCTGATGATATCCAATTATATCTTTCAATCTAAGTCTGGCAAAGTGAGGCTGTTGATTTATATCCCAGCACGTGGAGGTTGGGTAACCTCTGATTCAATCCACTAACCTAGAGTGAGTATGCTTGTTGGGGCCAATTAGGTCTGGGCATATTCCATCTTTAACCTTGGATGGGGTTGCACTTCTCCATTCAAAGGTGGTGCTTAATCTGAGGACACTCTTGAACTCCTGCTCAAAAGCAGAGGGCAGTTGTTGTAATTTCCATAGTAACATCATGTTACTATGTTAACCATAGTAACTTCATGGCTCCACTATTACAATGTGCTTTACATGGGGCTGCCCTTGAAGATTGTTCAAAGATTTCATCTAGTCCAGAATGCAGCAGTGCAAGCAGTAATGTGTGTATGTGATATCTCTGCTTTGTGAGCTGTATTGGTTTCCAGTTTGTTTCCTGTGCAATTTTAGGTGCTGGTTTGGCCTATAGAGACCTACATGGATTACAACCTGGTTATACAAGAGATTATCTATCTCCCATCCTATCAGCCTGGCCAGTTCAATCTGACAGATGTGCCACCTCTGGGTTTTCAATTAAATAATATCATCTATCGAAATTCCAGAGTTGCAACACTTGCCTTTCGGAATGAGAATCTTCCTGATATCAATATGTTGGAATTACAAAAAACTTTAAAGATTTTTGTTCTCGAGGCCTTAGGATGGGCTTCTTGGGTCTCCTGCTGGATTGTGGGTAGCTATGGTTGACCAAATTCACTATTGGGCAGGTATTATTTTTTAAAAAAATTATTGTGTTCTAAGAGCCCCGGTGGCGCAGTGGTTAGAATGCAGTACTGCAGGCTACTTCTGCTGACTGCCGGCTGACTACAATTTGGCAGTTTGAATCTCACCAGGCTCAAATTTGACTCAGCCTTCTATCCTTCTGAGGTGGATAAAATGAGGACCCAGGTTATTGGGGTCAATATGCTGATTCTGTAAACCACTTAGAGAGGGCTGTAAAGCACTATGTGCTATTGCTATTCTGTTTTTATGCTGCCAATTTTCTTGTGCACATCCAGACTTGATTGGCATCAGGTGATGTCTGAACTGAATTAATTAAATTAATCCTTTTGGAGCTGCGGGGGACCAAGATCCAGAAACTCGCACATTTTATTTCAGGTAGATGCGTCGAATGTGGATGCTTCCGTCATCCACATTCAAAACATTATAATCATTGCAGGATGTCTGCCTGTAGACATCATCCCCTGCACCTAACACACAACTAAACAATCTTAGATTACAGGAATGAATGCAGCTTCCCCAAACCTTGAGCGCAGTGCCAGAATCCCTTCAAAGTTGCTGCCAAACTGTAATTTTGAATGTGAGTGAATGCATTACACATGGCTTTTAATCATATTAGCTGGATTGGATTTGATATTGATTTGGACTTTGTCCTGGCCCTGCCTTATTTTTGGAACGTGCCTCCCCACACGCACATTTGCTATTTTCTTTCAAAGTTCTCTTACTGGAGGTTTTTTTGAGGTTACTTTCAGGTTGGTCGTGGGAGAAGGCCTACTGCTGGAAGTGCTGAATTGATTTTTTTCCCCTGTCTCTTTGATTGGCTACTCAAATATCCCCAAAGAGAACAAGAATCCTGGGAATAATTCCTTCTGGATGTCTTCCCTTGGGATCAGAGTGAAGCATTGGGACCCTGGAAGATGACAGACTGTGAGTGAAATCCTTGTGTGATGGAAGAGGAGACATTTGCATACCTCTTGGGAAAATGTATGCCTCAAGGGAATTTCACTAAAATTCTTTCTTTACTCCGAAATAAATTTCAACATTAAATTCGCCTTCATTAAACCAGGTAAAAAATTGGTATTTTTTTTTAAAAAAACCTAGGGTTTTCCCTTATGTCAATTTCCCTTATGTCAATATCCTTTCCTTTATGTCAATATCAGATGGCCTTGGCTATAATTACTAGATTTGTATCCTTAGCAGACAAAGGCAGTATCCTAACTCCATTTCTCATATTTCTTTTTCAAAAAGCAAAAGTTTGCAAGTTCTCCCGGGAGTATCACCCAATTCTTTGCCAGAACAAGATGATGCGCAGGATCCCCAAAGAGGAAGGTGCTTTGCATAACCTTTGTTATGCTTTACTTTATGTATGCTTACTGTATACTTACTACATACTTTATGTATGTGGATATAAATTTAGATTTATTTAAATTTAGATTTGCTTTCCAGCTGTTTGTTCTCATTGTCTGTCAATATGATAAGGATCTGTTGAATCAACTTTCACCAGGAAGTATAGGAGAACCCCCTTCCCAATTCCTTGCAGTCCAGATCATAGCTGCAGAAATCCTGGCCCACATGGATATTCACCACAGAGCCTGGAAATTCTAGAAGGTGTGGTTGCAACACATTTGGAACCAATAGACTTCTAGTATAACTTATTAGCCAGTATAAACATATCTGACTCAGCAGGCTTACCCCTAATTATGCTGTTGAACTTGCTGATTGGGTTCACGCATCATGCTAAACCAGCTCTCCTCAACCTAAAGGCCTTTTGGATGTGTGGGTTTTAATTTCCCAACCAGCACTGCTAAGAACTTTATGGGATGAAGTCCAAATACGTAGAAGTGACCCAGAGCTTTGTTTGATTTTGCCTCCAGCTATTATAGGAACCCAGGCTGTGCCTTTTGGAAACTGTGATTTTAGGTTAACCCAGCCTATGCTGATTTAGTCAACAAAACATGGGTAACAAACCATGATTTGAGCACAAGTTCAAGTGCTTCACAGTACATTCTGATAAACAGTTTCCTACTGAATTGGACCCCTGGCCCATTTAGTCTCACAGTCTGTTCTCACAATGGTCAACCAACTGCACAAGGAAGCCTCCTTCTCACTCAGCAGATCGCCATCAGAGGCAGTCACCCTGTCCTTAAGGCTAAATAAGAAAGGAGATACATGCTTTTGAGACAAAAATTCAATTCACTTGCTTCTGAGTAAATAAATATAGGATCGAAGTATCAAGTTTTAAAGAAAACCAATGGCCATACCCTTACATTCTCTACTTTTGGATTTGTAATCATGACAAAAGAATGGTATTAAAAATGAAGGGGCAGGGGAAGATTACCTGATGAGTTTTTGGAGATTTAGAGAGATTTATGATGCATTTGATAATAAGATTCAGAGACTTTTTAAAAAAAAATTGCAATACTTTAATTATTATTTTTGCACGTTTAAATCGACATGTACCACAGAGTGTACCGTTCGATTAAAAGAACATCTAGACAGCTCTCTAGTTTGGGACACCCATAGAAATTAAAAGGATCATAGGGAGTTTGACATTTTGCAAAATGAAGGAATAATTAGTGCACCATATTGGGTTTTTCCCTTTTTAAAAAGATTGCTCAAGCAACCCTTCTGTGGCTTAGCTGGAAACAAAATTTAGGCCCTGTTTCTATTGTATTTGCTCAGAAAAAGATAATAAATAAAAGAAATCATAATTAACTCTCTCATTACCTAGGGTGGGACTTTGACTTCTGCTATTTCTAGAGGAACATGTATTCCTCAGTTACAATGCCCCAACATTGCATTAATTGTAGGTGACATTATACAAACACATTATGTGCACTTCCATTCACATATACGTAGCTTGGATCATGCAGATCCATACCGATTGGATTTTTAATACCTAAGGCAAACTATAAAGTACAGAGCTTCGGCTGAGGAGCATGGACACGATTCCAACTTTAGAAGAAGCTCAGTGAAAACAGAGAATTTATATGTGTCTTTATTTTTTGGAACAGCTCCACTCTTTCTCTCCCCTCAAATACTACCAGATATCGTGCCTCTTCTTCACACAATACATTTAGAAATAAGCAATGAAACCCCATCTCCATCATTCTGGATTTTCAAGGTGGTGCCAGTGCATGGAAAAAGCACTCCTTGGTTCAAAATCTTACCACACACCATCACACTTTTTAAAATGTTTTTAATTGTCTGTTATTGTTTTAATCATGGGGCCAAATTTATATCTATCTTTTTAATTGTATTTTAATGTTTGTAGTTTATGTTTTTACTTGGCTGTTCACCGCCCTGAGTCCTCAAGGAGAAGGGCAGTATATAAATTTAAAAATAAATAAATAAATAAATAAATAAATAAATAAATAAGTAAGTAAGTAAGTAAGTAAGTAAGTAAGTAAGTAAGTAAGTAAGTAAATAAGAGAGCCTTGGTTGATAAACACACCATAGGGGGGAAAAAGATATATATATAGGATTCCATCCCACAAACCAGCCTTCCAATTCACTTATTTCCCAACAACATACATATTTTGTTATGTTTTTCTTGACAGAGGATAACCATTTGGGGACCCTCCAATTTCACATTCTTTTTTCATGAAGAAGTACAGAAATATTTTTTGTCATTCTAAACAAGGACATGGGAACTTGCTCTTAGCACAACTAGCTTAAGAGTGTATTTTTACAATAATATGTTCTCATTCTTCCTGTGTGTGTGTGTGTGTGTGTGCGCGCATACACACATGTCTTCAAGTGTGTGTTGGTTCCTGGCAACTTCCTGGGCTAGTTAGTCCCTGCAGTTTTCTTGGCAAGAATTTTCAGAAGTGGTTTGCCATTACCTGCTTCTTAGGACTAAGAGTAACAAGCCCAGGGTGACCAAATTGGCTTTGTGCCCATGGTGGGACTAAAAGTCATAGTCTCCTGGTTTCTAGCCTGGTGTTTTAACCTCTACAACAAATGCTCTGTCTCTCTCTTTCACTCTCATTTTCCTTACAAATGAGTTATCAGAGTTGTAGTGACTTACATATCCTCCTGTACTATACTATCCTGACCTTTTTAGTATGCTAAATTTTGAAAGCCTGACAAGCCTACCTTTGCTTTACAAGTTAGTAGGACTGTCGTGCAAATTGAAGAACAGAGAAGATGAGTGAGCTGAGATTCACGGGCATGCTCTCAAGTTGCTTTGTGTTTTAAATAATTGAGCATCAACCTGTCACTTGCATTTCTCTTAAGGACTCCATTCTTCTTTTCCTGGCACCCAGATAGCAGGGATCTAAAAAAAAAAATCCATGTAGTTTCAAGATGTAATAAAATGGCATATAAGCTTACAGCTCAGAACTGAAGAGCCTGTTAAAAGCCACCCTATGTGATAAAGGTAATTGCCTACAGCAGTTTGGAGTTTATGGGAAGCATAGTCCAAAACTGTATTAAGCCATTAGACTGCCTAATTGTGTTCTAGAGAATTAAATGTTTCCAGAACAACTCTAGAATACTGTTGCCAACATTTGAGGGAAATTATCCAGGAAATTATCTTCTACCAAGTTTTTATTTAATCTAGGTCAGGATTATATGTATGTATAATAGATGTGTATGTATGTATGTATGTATGTATATGTGTGTGTGTGTGTGTGTGTGTGTGTGTGTGTGTATAACCAACTCTAGGTAAAACTATAATATGAGTTGTCAATTTTTGAATAATGTACAAACCCTTTCCTTGTGGCTTGTACAATCTCATTTCTGATGGGGATGCAAAATTATTTTTCAGACTGAGATTCATGCTTGTTCTTGGAGTAGTTAACAGAGATGGACAAACAAGTGGTTGAAATTAAGAAAAGCAATATGAAATTAATCTTGTGTCATCAACTTTTTTCCAGCTCTTATCATGGATTGCTTTCTCCCGTTACTCCCAAGTTACACCTCTCCTGCGCGAGCTGCACTGGCTGCCGGTGGTCCTTCGGATCCGCTTCAAGGTGCTGGTGCTTACCCATAAAGCCCTTCATGGCATGGGCCCAAAGTACTTGCAGGACCACCTTCTACTGGCCTCCCACCGCCCAGTGCGCTCACATAGGACTGCCCTCCTCCGGGTGCCATCAGCCAGACAATGTCGGCTGGTGGTGCCCAGGATGAGGGCATTCTCTGTGGCCGCACTGACCCTCTGGAACGAGTTACCCACTGGGCTCCGGACGGCCCCTGACCTCCGCTCTTTCCGCAGTGACTTGAAGACATGGCTTTTTCAGCAAATCTGTTTGGGAGCTATAGTTTTAATTTGGGGATTTAAATTGGATTTTTAACATTATTTATTGTCTTGTTTTATTGCTGTGAGCCGCCCCGAGTCCTTCGGGAGAAGGGCAGCATATAAATATTATCAAATAATAAATAAATAAAATGATCTTATATTCTTAACCAGGTCTTTCAAATCATCACCAGTGTCTGTCTGTCTCTCCCTCTCTCCCTCCCTCCCTCCCTCTCTCTCATAATTCTAAGAACCAGTTTTGTAGAATGGCTAACATACTGGTCTAGAAACTGGGAGGCTGTGAGTTCTAGTTCTCCAATTGGCATGAATACTGGTGGGTACCTTTGGTCAGCCCAACTCACCTCACAGAGTTCTTGGTGTGGAAAAACAGTAGATGGGAACATAAAGTATGTATGTTGACTTGATCTGGCCAAAAATAAAGGTAGGATACAAATTATTACTTTATAAACAAATTTACGTAGCCACCCAAGACACACATAGGGGACTCCAGATGGCTTGCAGCATTTAAAACACACCACATAATAAAAATCCATAAAAATCCCACCCCACCCCTCCACATGGCAGCAAAAACATCGTGAAATCAGCCACTTGATCAGCTCTACCTCCATTCATGGTCCCAGAGCCTGCTGACAAAGCCACATTTTTAGGGCCTTTCAGAAAAGCAACAGGGTAAAGGCCAGCCATTTCCCCCAGGGGAATGTTTCTTTCTTCCTGTCACATGACAAATCAATACTTCATGGCTCCTTTCAGCAGGATTTTGGGTGACTTATCAAAGGACTTGAGAGCTAAGCTCATTTACCTCTGTTTTATAGCTGAATATGTATAATTGTATTCAACTGTGGTTATTCAAGGAACATCTGTTCAAGAAACCATGGCGTGAGATGTTACATGGGCCTGGCCACCGATGGGAAATGATACTGAAGGATTGTTAGGGACCAATTTTACATCCATATTTAGATTCGTTAGAGATTCAATTGAATAACTATTCTATGGAATTTACATTTATCACAAAGCAATTGTCCTTTAATCTACACTAATTTTTTGTATATCACTTGCTCTAACCATTGGGAAATAATCGTATATTGTGGTTCAGTTAAATAAAATTGATTAAAGAAGCCACCATTGCCCAGGTTCACATATTGTTCTAACCATATAACAATTAAAGCAGAACCGAGTACTGCTTAGTGCAACGTCTTAAACCAGCCAATATCCATAACCCATAAAAAGCTTCATGTACTTTATATTCTGTATATTAAGCTAGAGTGTACAACTGAAGCGTGAACATGTTCTCTTTTTTTTTCTTATTAGTTCCCAGCTCATATTTACAACTTATACAATCAGCAATAAGGGGGGCTTTGAAAGACATTTTTCTTCATTTTGGGATGGGAACAAAATGAAACGTTGAGACTTTGGGTTTTGCTGCTTAGATAAGTTTGTTGTTATAGAATAGGCTAGCACATATTAAGTACATAAAAGTGAAAAGTTGAAGCTGTAATGTTATGTTTTTCTGCTGTGCTAAGGAGTCAGAAGTGAATGTTTTTTCCCCTTTTTCCTATCTCCTTTTTCCCTCCCCCATTTCCCCACTATTTTCATTTCTGTTTTATACTTTGATAAGTTTAATGAAAAAAAAATATTAAAGACATATTTCTGAGATGAGCAATAAACCTTCTGTAATATAAAGAAAATATATCCCCACCTTAATATTATTTCTCAATCACCAACACTGTTCAATCTGAGCTCTTGACACTTAAGAATCAGTATTCTCTTTCATCAACTTACTGTTAAGACTCTTCAGAAAAGACTTCTCTTGATGCAACAGTAGCCTACTTCTGTAACAATTGAGGATGTTTGACAATGTGTGCCCCCCCCCCCTTTTATAACTAGTCTTGTTTGCTTTGACTTGCAAATCAACACTGGGACTTAATTCAGTTTAATCAGCATAATACGGTACCCTGGGCTGCCATATTTTATAAGCAAACAGTACAGGCACAGCTGTGTTCAAACAGGTTCTACTATAAATCATATAAGACATGCAACTACAGCTCTGGGGTTGATACCTTTCATTTTGCAACCAAGGTCTTTCACAGCTGAGTAATAAAAAAGAAGAACCCCAGCAGATTGCAAGTCCCCCCCCCTTTTTTTTTTTATTTTCAAGCAAAGAGAAGGCACTTGTTGGATTGCTATTCAAGCTGTGGTTAATGTAGCCTTCTGGTGCCCTCCAGATGTGTTGGTTTACATTTTCCAACGTACCAAGTCATTCTGGGGATGGTAGATCAACACATCCGGAGGGCACTTTTTTGGTGATAGTGACTAGTTTATATATTTTACTCAATCATAGTTTGCCAGTAGAAGATAACATTTGTAGTTTGGGGTTGAAAAGTGGAGTCCTTGGTTGTTTTCTTGCAGACATTTCATTATCTGTCTAGGTAAGATCAGTACATTGATGATATTGTGTGGCTGGATAATGAAACATCTTCAAGAAAATAATGAAGTTCAGAGACCACTAAGGACCCCATAATCATAATTTGCCTAAATATGGTTTAAAAAGAAATCACATGGCTTAAAATGTGCAGCTTCACATGTCATACTAAGCCATCTCTCAGCTCCCAACAAACCACAATATATCATGATGGATGAATTAATAATATAGAGAGATTGTTGTAGAGACATGAATCCTTTCCCTAACCTTACCCATAACCCATCCTCTAGATCTGAAGAGATAGGACATGGGAGATGAAGTGTTAAGGATCCTTGGGTTTATTTCTCATGGATTATTTAGAATACCAGGTGCCTGCAATGTTCTTAGCTAGCTGGAAGTAGAGAAAAGATGAATCATTGTTGCAGCTGTGGACAAGAACCCTCTGGAAACTATAAACTAGCAGCATTGGAAGGTGGTAGAGATCTCAACTTTCTTGGAACTCCTTTTTGTGTGTTTATGTAAATATCAAATATTTACTTTTAGGGAAAAAAACTCAGATAAGATGATTTCAGTTTAGTCTGTGGATACTCACAACTCTTAGCTTTACTGTTTCTTTTGCCTTGTGTTGAGTGTTCTGATGTTCTGCCAGGGTGAGGGAAGTATTCTATTTCTCTTGAAGGTGGTAGGGAGGAGTGATGATTAAAGTGTTGCTAGGAAGGTCCAGTTTCAGGGTAATAATCCATAAAAGAAATTTACTTTGCAGGGTTTCTGGATTACTTGCAGGAGGTTACATTATTTCATCCTAATGTACAACACCTTGACTTTTTGGAGTAAAAGAGAACTATAATGACTATCTTCTGGTAAGCAAAGATGTATTGATGCAAATATAAAGATCTTAAGGCTTTTTAATTCCTAATTAATTTTCTTGGTTAACTAAATGCCATTTTGAGGGGGAAATAGGCTCATTAGTGACTAAAATAGTCTGAAATTTTCTGGCTCAACAAATTGGAAGGACAAGTTGGAGAAGATTGAACAGAACAAACTGCTTCTCAAGTTCATAAAGAATAAGACCTTTGGACTGACTTGAAACTACAAAACTTTGATTTTAAACATATGCCTTCATATTTTGATTTTTTTCCTTTACTTTAAAATCGATCTATAAAACTAGTAACTTTATACATCCTCTTGTATAAATTTGTGTGGTCTAATACCTAAAAGCTACAGAATTTAGAATTTTTCCTGTATAGATGAACATGGCTATCCCTACATTTTAGGGATTTTTTTCCTGATTTCTGTAAAAGAAAGAAAGAAAGAAAGAAAAAGGATAGTTATACTAGCCAGACATAATAAGGTCAAGGATTTTATTGGTTTAGTTACTAGTAATAAAGTGACTGGGCTTCAACTCCAATATTCTTGGTATTCTTGCATACCATTTCATGGTATAGTAACAAGATCTGACTTTTTCTTGGAGATCAGGATGTTACTGGGTGCCTGATGATATGTCTGTTCTGGGTTGTAAGATGGAATTGCCAGGAGCCTTTTTTGAAAAAGTATTATGCCTTATTATTTTTGTATTTTATCCATTTATGATTTTGTTGACCACCCAGAGTTATTTGGCTAAAATGGGTGGCTGTATAAATGTGCTATATGAACAAAATAAAGGTTTTCAAAGTCTAGTCATGAACTTTCCAAAGATAGCCATATGGTCACTGTTGGAAAAATAACATGATGCATCAGGTAATGCATATGTTGTTCTTCTGTTCATCAGAATCCTTTTTAATAACTTTTGCTTTTTCATGAGATTGGCAGAAAGCAATAGAGCTACATATAATACTACATGAATTCTAAGTTTTATAGTTCTATAAAATGTCCTTGTTTAGAAATTTAAAATGCATTGATGGAATGTTTTCTGGGCCTTTTAAAATTTCAGTTATAACCCAACATCTTTGATATAATGAATCTATGGAGTGTAAGCTTGAAATTATTTATTCTGGTCCTTGTACTATTGAAGTCTAGATTACGAGGTATTATAACAGTGTTACTTTTAAAAACAGTATGCATGATTCCTTTCAATGGGTTTATGATCTGATTAGAAGCCACAGGGGTTGCAAATAGCAATAGCACTTAGACTTATATACCGCTTCACAGTGCTTTATAGTGCACAGTGCTTTATAGTGCACAGTGCTCTCTAAGTGATTTACAGAATCAGCATATTGCCCCCAACAATCTGGGTCCTCATTTTACCCACCTCAGAAGGATGGAAGGCTGAATCAACCTTGAGCCTGGTGAGATTTGAACTGCCAAATTGCAGGCAGCTGGCAGTCAGCAGAAGTAGCCTGCAGTACTGCACTCTAACCACTGCGCCACCACGGCTCGTATAATTCTAGTCTTCCTGTGAAATTTATTTCCTGATCCGGTTTACCCAAAAAGCTGACAGTATCTTACCTTGTACAGCTGCGCCACTGAGGCAAATGAAGATGGCGCTTCATCCATAAGCATCCCAATGAGGAAAATGGTCTCAAATTTTGTAACATGAGCATAAGATCTGAAGCTCTTTAGGTAGCAAAACATGTCCCTGTAAAGGTACATTCTGATGATATTTATTACCACTAATGATTCAGCAAAGTTTTACATTGCTGTTCAACACCATGTGCTTACATAGTGCTGAGGCCTTCCATATGATCCTCCATTGGCAGGGCAAGCATTGCCAACAGAGAATTAAGATGAATGAGGGCTGCATTATACAAAGTGAGTCCAGCAAGTATTTTCTCCCAATTTAGAGGTAGGAATGGCCTGAAGGGTCCTTGGTGCTCTCTGATTTTCTTGAAGACATTTCATTACCCAAAGTAGGTAACTTCATCAGTGCTAGTAAGGAATGGGGTTTGCTCTCTGTTTATATTCCAGTGGCCTGCCCTGTCAGTGTTGGTGGGAATGGTCTTGGATGTTCCTTGGTTGTGCTGTTTACTGTTAGCTAATTTGGCAGTTCTTTCACTGGGGTACTGTTTACTTCTTGATTGTTGGTTTGATGTTAATCTTGGAAATAATTAATAGTCATCTGGGTTCTGATTGCTGGTGTTGTGTGTGGTCTTTTTGTTCCCTTTTTGGCTTGTTGATTGTCTCTTTTGCACAGTATGCAGATATTAACAGAACAGAATAACAGAATTGGAAGGGAGGACCTTTGAAGGTCTTCTAGTCTAACCTCCTGCTCAGGCAGGAAACCCTATACCATTTCAGAAAAATGGTTGTCCACTGGCACTGATGATGTTAACTAGTTTGGGTAATGAACGACTGCAAGAAAACAACCAAGCTCAAACAGCACCAAGGACCCCTCATTTCAACCCTGGTCTTCCTAAGGAAAATAGTACAGCTGCAATGTTTGGATATCGGCATATGCTTCAGGGAAAGAGTTGATGGCCTGGGTGTGACCAGAAGCAATGAGTTTATCACAAACAGTTTTGAAAAGAATATTATTAAACCAAATCCAGTGAGCTACATATTTCTGAGTGGATGGCCACTTTTCTCAAGAAAAACTCAAGATGGCTATACACAAAGGCAAAATCATGTTTTAACCATTCTCAGCATGCCTAATAATCAAACCAAAAGAAAAGGTATATTTTGAATATATGGGAAAGGCATTTATATAAATGACTTCTGGACATTATCTGCCTTCCAGTTTTGATCTAAATTTAGATGTTGTAAGTTTATATTACTGGTTGGAATTCATTGTTGGAATGTATTTCTATACTGTAGCAACAACTACAGTAGTATTCAGCCAATAGATGGCAGTATTTACAAGTTTGGATCTATGGTAGATACTCTATGTTCTAAGCAGAGTTTTCTGTTACAGAAAAATAGTAGAGCAGTAAAGCACATGGTGACTGTACTCTTTGTTTGCTCTGTGTGATGATTTATATAAACATAATTTCTAACACTACTGTGACAAAAGCATTTATTTCAGTTATTTGTCTCCAATTTGATTTTGTGTGGAGTGTAAAGTTCTCACAAATCAGAGTGTATTCTTGTCTTTACCTTAGCTACAAAGTGATAAAGGGGTGAAAGTGGATGTGCTCTCTTTAACCACACAATCCACTCTAGCAGTCTAAAACTTCTCCAGTTTTCTGTCCTTTACATTTCAAAAGAATTTAATTTCTCTTTTTGGTTTTCTTCTGAATTCATATTATTATGAGGTGGCAGAACATACTAGTTTTCTGGTACTGATCTCTTCATTGTACAGTCTCCCTGGCTGACCTTGCTTCACATATTTAAAAAAAACAACAACATTTAAGCAGTTGCTACTTGACATTGTCCCTCTTCTCCTGTGGGCCCAACTGACCAACAAGAGCCTCCAAAAGCTGCATCTAATTGATGTTTCACTCAAACTACAAGTTTTATTATATATTGTCTTCTGGTACTAGTTCCAGACCAGCAAAACCATTCTTACTCTCACTTTACATTCCAAACAGAATGAAAATACACTCTTATCACTTTCTTGAGGTCTTCAATGCATTTTCTGGGCCCTTGGTCATTTCTAAAAGAAAGAAAGAAAAGCATGTTTAACAGAGGGAAACTGTCTTGGTACACCATCTCAATTGCTTCTGTTTAACCATTTTGTTGAGAAGTGAGAAGATAAAATGATAGTCCTATCATCCAATGGGCGGTTTTCATAAATGCTTCTAACTATGGTTGGGGAATGGAGACGGTAATAAACCAAATGTTTATGTACTTTTTAAGCACATAAGAATTCAATGTAATTGAAAACCATCATGATTCTTTTCCCTTCTCTGGAATAACCATGTCACTCCTCCACACAAAAGGTAAAGAAAGGGGGTGAAAATCCCAAGAACTCAGAATATTTGTACACCCACTTGTCCTCTGCCAAAATGAAAGTGGGAAACATATCAATTTTTTTTGCCAATTTGCTTGTTGCTAAATTAAGCCTGTTTTCCTTTTTATTACATTTTAGGAGGTGACTATAAACATACTTAATGTCACAGTCTTTTATTGGTTTTGTGTTTTCTATTTCTTGTTTATAATTGTTTTTATTGCATGTAAAATAATAAAAACAATTATTTTATTGCATTTGTCAAGGGTACTGAGCCGCTAAGAGAGTAAGCAGCCCCTTTTTTTTTTTTTTTTTTTGCTAAATAAATGAAATCTCTTCAAAGGAACTGCTGGAATCAAGGAAGCTAAGAAGCCAGGAGGATGGGAGAAATAAAATTGACCACTATTAAGTTCTGCAGAATTTCACTGCTGTAAAAAGGAAGGCCACTCACATGTGTGCGTGTGTGTGATTTGTTATATCTGTTATATCAACTCAGTTATATCAACTGAGAGGAAATATATCAGCCCTGCTGAGCAATGGGATCCTATTTCCCATTGTTTTCAAACTGGCAGAGTTTATCAGAGTTGGAAGGGACCTTGTAGGTCTTCTAATCCTAAACCCTATACCATTTCAGACAAATAGTTGTCCAATCTCTTCTTTCAAATCCCCAATGATAGAGCAGACACAACTAAAGGCAAGCTGTTCCACTGATTAATTGTTCTCTCTGTCAGGAAATTTCTCCTTATTTCTAAATTGCTTCTATCCCTGATTTGTCTATGGAGGCTCTCAGTCATCCAGGTCATGGTTGACCCAAAAGTGCTTTTTCAAGAGGCAAGTGGACTTTCTGGTTTTTCTTTGAAGACGTTTCGCTTCTCATCCAAGAAGCTTCTCCTTTCTTCTTATCTGCTTTCAGGTCCTTTGGAGAAAAAGGTTGTCCCCTATTCACACAATTCTCCTGTGAATGTGCTCTCTGTTTCTATAGCTTTCCTCTTGCAGCTGCTCATTTCATAACAAAATTCAGTGGCGCTTCATGATAGCCTGTGTACCTGTAAGTCAACTTTTCTCCTGCAATTGCCCTGCATTTGTGCAAAAAAGGAAAAATGTGTTTTCCTCTTTGACCCAGACAGATGCACATCACTGTGTTACAAAAGCATGTCAATTGCTGTTACTTAAGAAAAGGAAGGGAGCACGAGGGTTGTGGAGAACCCTTCATCCTGCCAGCGAGTGAGCACAGGTAAATGAGATGCTTTGTGCCAAACTCAAACACTTAACACCATTTACTCAGCAATAGCACGATGTACCACAAGCTGAAAAGTGATCATCCAGGCAGCAGGAAATGAAGAGGTTAGGAAGCACTGTAAAGAAAGCTGCTGTGATGTTAAGGTAACAGATGTGGTGGAAGGATTTGGACTGATGTTGCAAATAGGAGTGAAAGAGAAATGGATTGATTTCTTTGTAGAGCTGAAATTAATCGCACTTCACCTCAGCCTGTGCATCATAGTCAAGCATTCATTTCCTCAGAGGACTATTTAGCTTTGAATTGGGTGTCTTCTGCCCAAAAAATCTGCCCTAGATGCTCTATAGGACTCAAACCAATTACAGTTGTCAAACTTGTGGCTAACAGACTGAATGTTTGTCAGAAATGCTTTCGGCTCTGCCCTATGTAACTCTACAGATTTCTCTGATTTTTTTAAATTAGAGAGGTGGAGCTTTTCACTTCTTTCCTTAAATCAAGAGGAAATATTACAAAAAAAAAATAATCAGATTTTTTTATTATTATTTTTAAAGGACAGATGTATGTTTTGACCACACTATTTTTAGGTCTGAGAAACAATACACAACTGTTGGTTAGTAAATTAAATGTTAGGGGGGCAAAGGATCTACTTTGTAATATATTCCATTCTAAAATATATCAAGATGTTTTCTAATAGTGAGCATTGGAAAGTTAATACAGTCTTCTATACCCAAAAGATTGCAGATTGTCCTCATTTAGTGACCCCTCACACATGGCTCCATTGGCACAGCCAAGCTGCAATGTGATTCATAGAAGGGTAAAAAAAGAGAACTAACCCGCAGCATTTCAGAAGGTGAAAGACATGTTCCAATTGTAATTTTATTTTATTTTATTTATTTTATTTTATTTATTTTTATTTTTTTTATTTTATTTTTTATTTTATTTTATTTTATTTTATTTATTTTATTTTATTTCATTTCATCATTTCATTTCATTTCATTTCATTTTATTTTATTTTATTATTTTATTTATTTTATTTTATTTTATTTTATTTTAATTTATTATTTTATTATTTTATTTTATTTTATTTTCCCCATTTATTTTATTTTCCCCATTTATTTTATTTTACATTTACATTTTGCAACCGCCCATCACTTTTACAGATTCTGAGCAGTGTACAATAATATATTTAAACAAACAATATATAAAAGTTAACATTGATAAAGAGGCAAGGATGGCTAAAAACAATGCTAAAAGTTAATTAAAGCTGTGGGGAGGACTTTCACAGCATTAGTCTGACCCACAGTTGTATGCTGCGCTGTGCAGTCCCCAAGCCATGTTCTTATGCCTTTTTGGAAGGCCAGGAGAGGGAGGTCCCATCTCGCCTCTGTAGAGTGTTCCACTGAGAGGTGGGGGGGGTAGAAATGGCTGAGAAGGCTCTCCTCTTGGACCCCACCAGTCAGAATTCTTTAGCTGATGGTGTCTGCAAATACCTTCCCTGCCTAACCAGATGGGATGAGCCAATATGAAGAGAAAAATTTGGAAATACAATGTCTGTCTTTCTCTCTGGGGAGAAAAAAAAAATCCAATCTGTTTTCTATCTGGATGGCCACCAAAATGTCTTTCCAAAGATTAGCATCCAGTGATGTCCTGAATCCCTGCTGACCAGGCCATTTAACTTGGCTCCTTTGTCCCGACCACCCCGGTTCTAATAATACAGCCCTTCAGCTTTTCAGATGTATCTGTTGTAATGGAAAAGTGCTCCGAACTTCAAATCAAGAGTCAGGCTTCTGAGCTGGCAAGGCGAAGGCCAGCCGTGGCTCCAGTGCGAACACTGAGCCTTGAAACAGGAAGAGGGGATTTACATAATAATTATCTCCAATGGACTTGGACAACTCACTCTCTGTGCCATCGCTGCGGATGATTCCCCTGTACGCTCCTAAAAAATCTGTCTAGCTAACGAGTCCAAAAATCAAACACCTGTGTGTCAGAGCGAACAGCTGCACACTTGCTCCTGCTTTGCTGTCAGGCGAAGAGGCCACATGCCAGTTGCTGTACTTGGAGTATTTGGGGAGGGCAATCCATTAGAGAGAAAACACCGCATAATTAAGAAGCAACATGTTTTCAGCTTCCTGCTGCCTGATTTTTTTTCTACCCCTTTTTGTTTAAATGTCTGAGGGTTGTTGTTTTTTAACACGACAACCAACCCAATTTGTATGGTAGGCAGGTTCTTCCTTCCAAACGGGGCTGGATAACTTTTCCCCAAAGCTGTGACACTAACCCTATTCCTAAATGTAATAAGATTGCCGAGGCAGGAGCATTCTGAATTGGGACCAAAGAATGACTAAACCCACCCCTTCCCCCAAATCTTTTTTTTTAAAAAGAATACTCTCCCAAAATCTATACTGGAAATCATTCCAGCAAGATACAGATATTCAGGTTTAATTTCAGCATCTTCCAAAAAGCAAGGCTAAGGAGAAAGAAATAATATAATATTGACATAATTTAATGTCAATGGCTTTGTGTAGTCAAAGGAAATGCTTTAATTCATGTCATTGTTAAAACTGTACATCACTATAGATTTGAGTTTAAGTGCTTGCTTTAAATTGTATTTTACTGTCCTTTAAAAGAATGCCTTCTGAATGAATGTTGTCATTCTTCCCCCCCACCACCACCTTTATGAAGAATTGATGCTCAGGTTTTTAATTTGTCAAGCATAAACTCTGGTACCTTTTTGTCTGCTCTTAATTCCCTCAGGGCTACCTATAGTTGTCTTCCTGCACACTGGATCACCAGGAGTGGAAGCCTGGAAGGAAGGGGGGGGAAAAAAGCATCTCTCTAGCCATCTTTAATTCATGTGATTAAAAATTCAAAAGGAGCCCTTGTACCAGCTGTTAAACTATGTTAGTAAGCTGTAATTCAGAGTTCAAATCCCAGCAAATTGAAGGTTAGGCTAACAGGATCATTCAGTGGAACTGCATCCTATCGTAGCAACTGGAACAGTAGGTGGACTGTTTTATACATGCTCATTTGCAGCCGATCAAGTAACGATGAGCAAACACAGTGCACCGCAAAACCTTGCCACTGGATTTGATCTCCTCCTCCTCCTCCTCCTCCTCCTCCTCCTCCTCCTCCTCCTCCTCCCTCCTCCTCCTCTCCCTTATTTTCTTCTACAGCCGGCTTTCATCCCTCCGAAAAGAATGGCAGACAAAACTAACTGTGGGCTTTGTTTAATTTGTGTGCAGATAGGAGCAGAATAAAAATTAGCAATGGAGTGTTTTGTTTAAGATTATCTGGAACCTGAGAAATATGTGTTTCATCTCTGCGACTAATTAGTTTAAATAGAACAAAGGTGGAATGAGTTTGATGGTCTTAACTCTAATGCACTTTCCCCTTCAACTGCACGGAAATTATCTGTATGAGATGAAAAAAAAGGGGAAAAAACCCATGCTATTAGCACAGTTTGACTTGATTATTCTTTACTCAAACGGCTCCCAAGATAAATTTCTGGGAAACTTGCACTGCTATTCCGCATCTTCATTTATTTTAGCCTTTCCAAAAGGCTTTGTAACTTTGGTTACAAAGAAATGATGGCAAGAGGTCTATTTGGCAAACAAATAAAGGGCACTTCGGGGCTGCCCCACCCAAAGAATAAAGGCACAAAATGTCTGCTGTAGTTTTGTGTAAAAGTTCTTCCAAGAGAAAATAGCGCGCCCCAGAGCACATTTTGCCGAGCCATAAATCCAGCCATTATGGTTTCTAAACCAGGGTTCGTGGAAGAAGGCTGCACCTTTCCTTCCAAACCATGGATCACACTTGGCTATTGAATAACATGCTGGTGGCCATCCTGCAAATGCTAGTGGAGAGAAGACCAAATGTAAATCTTCTTTTATTTTACTCACAGGATATGGCATGAAACTGGAATACGAAGGCTAGGAGTACTCTCTCATCAGAATTTAAATATCCTTTTAAAGTGTCTCCATGAAACCCTTTTGGCAGCCTTTTGGAACAGTGTGCAAGGTTTCTAAGAGTCCCATGTGAGCTTAGCCTCAGGTCATCCACACCTGGTTTATAGCTCAATGAACTTACCAGCTATGGTTTATTCAGTAGACAAACCATGACTTAGCAACAGCGTCCATGCCCAGCTGCAATGTACTGTTACCTAATCATTTTTCCGAGATAGCAAAACTAACCGATATTATCATATCTCTGTTGGACTCTCGTTGAACTTCAGAAATGTTCTACTCCGACACCAAGTGCCTTCAGCTATGTTAAGAGCATAGTCCAAGTCCAGTCAAAGGTTCATAGCATAAAGTTTGGAATATTCTTGTAATGTGGTCAAAGTTCTAGAGATAAGGCTACTTTATCAGAGGATAAAAACAATCAAGGATTGTTTTCAAGGGACACAACCATCCAGCTAAGGATCACAAATGTTGTCCCAGAATTCAGTCTTTTGTCTCAGAATACTCTTAGTTGATCCTAAAATGGAATTGTGCTTGCTGGCTTCTCCAAAAAAAAGCAGGTAATCTGATAGTGGCAATAAGGCACTCATCCTGGAAACCTGGCATTCATTCATTCATTCATTCATTCATTCATTCATTCATTCATTCAATCATTCAATCTTTCTTTCTTTCTTTCTTTCTTTCTTTCTTTCTTTCTTTCTTTCTTTCTTTTCTCTATTCTTCAGGAACTCATTTATGTATTTTCTTATTGGACTATCCAAATCTCCAAGGGTTGCTAGCATTTTACAACAAGAAGCATCAATAAATATATAAAATTAAAGCATCCACAGTAAAGACTTAAAAAGAAGAGGTCCATTTTAACTGCCTTCTGGAATGCTATGGGAGACAACTTGATTAAGAGGTGCTAAAATTCTTGCAGATTCAGTTGCTGTATCCTTGCTTCAGAGTCTAAACCCTAAGTTGAGGGAGGCAGAACCTTAGCCAAGGTCTTAGCTTCTCCAAACTACCCTTGTCAGTGTCTTCATCCTGCTGTTTCTCAGGAGAAGACCCCTCTGAGGGGTTATGAAAATAAAAGAGAAGGAGGCAAAGCAGTGGATTAATCAGATGAGCAAGAAGCTAACTGACAGGTTTGATTTTGGATTGAATACTACAAAGACTAATGTTGGATTTCTTACAGGCACATTGCTGAAAGCTGATGAACCCTTAGAGGAGGAGGATGTCGTTTGACTAACAGACCTTTAACACTTTCTATTCAATGAAGAGGGACACAGTGGCTCAGTGGCTAAGATGCTGAGCTTGTCGATTGAAAGGTTGGCAGTTCAGCAGTTCAAATTCCTAGTGCCGTGTAACGGGGTGAGCTCCCGTTACTTGTCCCAGCTTCTGCCAACATAGGAGTTTGAAAGCACATAAAAAATGCAAGTAGAAAAATAGGGACCACCTTTGGTGGGAAAGTAACAGCGTTCTGTGTGCCTTTGGCATTTAGTCATGCTGGTCAGATGACCACGGAGATGTCTTTGGACAGCGCTGGCTCTTCAGCTTTGAAACAGAGATGAGCACCGCCCCCTAGAGTCGGGAATGACTAGCACATATGTGCAAGGGGAACCTTTACCTTTACCTTTATTCGATGAAGAGATATGATACACACAATCTTGTTAACATGCCAGGATTTAAACTGTCTATGTAGATTACCATGTTGCTCTCAATGTTGCAGCCAATATATTCTGACTAACTTCTTGTACTTGGGATAAGAAGGCATTTGGGTTTCTTTTTAATCAAGAATGATCTATTAAGAAACATTCATTCTTCTCTTCTTCTCACCACTTTGTAAAATACTGGTCAGTAGCCTATTTTTATTTTATTGAGAAAATCCATATGATCTCCCAATTTATTTTTAATGATTCTAGGCAGCTTACGAAGATAAACCCCAGTAGAAAAAAACAATAACCTCCCCTTACCTGCTTGGTGACAGCAATCAAATCAGCAACTTGATGGGCTCAGTATCATTCTGAGATCCCAAGGCCTGTTGGCAGAACCATGTCTTCGTGGCTATGTAAAAGAATGTCAAAGTTGGACCAATCTTATCTCTGCAGAATGTTTGTGAAGATGGAATAGAAAATCCATAAAATTCCACTACAGTTTGTGCTTGCTTTGCCATGTTCATATGGTAGTTACCGAAGCAAAAGTAACAATGCATTTACAAATACGCTATGCATATTATTAAAAATACAAACTGTTGAAAATATCTTCATCTCTTTGCACTTTTGAACCTGTTTTGACCACTAGGGCAAATGGAGAGAGATAGAGAAGGGGAAAGGTCATCACACACTGAACCTGTGTGTTTATTTCTCATCTGATCTATTGTTAATTAAATAGGTTCTGTCTTTAAGGGGGGAAAAAGGATACTTTCTGTTTGTTTTTCTCGTTCTTGTACTCATTGTTTAAAAAGAAATGAGACATTTTATATTCCTGTACCTTTTGCTTCGAATCCAATGAAGGTCTCTTAGCTTTCACTGATTCATCATTTTGCATCCAAGACAACTATACTACATTTTTTTTCCCTTTTCAATGGAAATTTTTGCTCCATAATTACTCATTATTCCTTTTGCTCTCTGCTTGTTGTATGTTTAGAATAGCAATACAATAGCCCTTAGACTTATATACTGCTTCACAGTGCTTTACAGCCCTCTCTAAGTGGTTTACAGAGTCAGCCTATTGCCCCCAATAGGGTCCTCATTTTACCCACCTCGGAAGGATGGAAGGCTGAGTCAACCTTGAGCCTGGTGAGATTCGATCTGCCAAACTGCTGGCAGCCGGTGATCAGCAGAAATAGCCTGCAGTACTGCACTCTAACCACTGTGCCACCATGGCTCTTATCAGGTCCGTGGCACAATCACATCTGCTAACAAAGTTTTTAGTTTCCCTGAATGTAAAATTTTGCAAAAAAGCTTCATTTCTAAAATTCCCATGCCAGTGCATTGCCAGAATTTGGTCTCTGAATCTGTTGCCATAGTTTGGGCTACACTTCCTTTCATTTTGTACAAATTTTGAAAAGAAAAAAATCAACATGGGGTCATTGGCAAAAATAACACACATGTTATTGTAAAAATAGCCTATTTGGACTGAAAAAAATCCACACGACCACATGATGGCATCAAAGAGGTACAGAAAAGTGTAACTCTTTATTGCCATCCTATGGTTCTTCAGAGATTTGCAGCTCAAATATGATATTCCTAGTTAATACAAATGTCGTATTTTGCTTGTCTGATTTTTGCTTGTTCATTTCCCCTAGCTGCCCATAATGGTTTTTATGGGCTACCATAATCTAGAAAAAACAATGTTGAGATACTGCTGAAAACATACACATAAGGCCACTGGGGTCCACATAGTCTGGATTGCACAATAACCCATTAAAAATCAACATTTGCAACCGCAGATAGCTTGATTAAAATCCCCGCTCTGATACAAATAGCATCTGGACAGCTTTTTGCATTACATCTTTCTGCATAAAATACCTGGGGTGGAGAGAAGCAGAAAAAGACAAAGGTACACAGAAGATTTGATTATGCTTTGGGTGCGGCACTATTCATTTCACGAGATTCAGGGAACTACACTATTGCCAAACCTGAATTTAAACAGTATGTTGTTTTTGAGAGCTGTAACACTGATGATGAACAAGTCAGTATTCTTACATAATTAATCCAGCGTGAAAGAAGGAACTGCAAAGCCATCCAGCGGTTTTAAAATAACTCAATCATTTATAAGATTCCCCAGAACTGTGGGCTTTAAAACATGAAGGCTCAGGAAGTGCACACATCCTAGCAATGAGCAGACTGCATTAATTCTGCAAATGGTCTCCGAAGCCAGCTTAAACAAGCCAGCTTGCACAGGGCAGAGGCAGCTTGGTGATTTCTTAAGAAAGAGTTTAGTGACCCAATCATTTTTTTTAAAAAAATATTATTTTGTTTCTCTTCTCTCCGTTCCCACCTCCCGCCCCGTGACACTTTAGGATCTGTAAATACCAAGAGATGCCTTTAAACAAACAAATGCATGAAAACACTCAGGGAGAAGTAAGAAAGTCAATGTCGGAGAAAGAGTCTTGCAACTGATGAATAATGGAGACCTTAAAACAGCCTATCGTAATAATGCTATGACTCTGAAAGCTTTTTACATTTTACTGTTTGTTTAGTCATTAGCCTGGTTTCATATTGACCTGAAATAGTGAAACACAGGCATTATCACAGCTGATAAAAGGCAGCTGCGAGTCTAACCTAATGGTCAAGTAAATAGCTAAAAGAAAAGCTTATTTAAAAAAAAAAACTCTGGAATGTCACCCACTCTGATCTTGATGTGTTTCTTCTTAAAAACATTCCTGCTTTTCCATCATCTTTGCCTGATGTCACACAATCTGTTGCTATCTGTTTAAGAACAAGAAGTCTTGTTGCTGGTATCCTTAAGATTTATATTGACTGTTTCCCTATGACTATCATTAAGTGTTGTACCTTATGATTCTTGACGAATGTATCTTTTCTTTTATGTACACTGAGAGCATATGCACCAAGACAAATTCCTTGTGTGTCCAATCACACTTGGCCAATAAAGAATTCTATTCTATTCTGTTCTGTTCTGTTCTGTTCTGTTCTGTTCCATTCATTCTTGCAGATACTGTATATTCCTCTTGCTCTTTCTGCATAGGTAGTCCTTGACTTACAACAGGGTCCATGAGCCAGTACTGCTCCGCAGCATGGCAGAAACCAGGCCATGCAAACAAGTGAAACCCTATCCATGGGATGAAGGCAGCATGTAAAACCATGGCCCTTCTGGTTTGTGGAAAACCTCTCTCAAAACCTCTCTTACACTGTAACCACTGGTGGCCAAAAGGTTGGGAACCACTAACTTATAACCATCAATGAACCCAAAGTTATTGTTGTTAAGCGAGACAATTGTTAAGTGAGTTTTGCTCTCTTTTATGACCTTTCTTACCACAGTTGTTAAGTGAATTGGTGCAGTTGTTAAATTAGTAACACGGTTGTTAAGTGTATCTGGCTTCCCCATTGATTTTGCTTGTCAGAAGGTCGCAAAAGATACCAATAGCAATAGCACTTAGATTTATATACTGCTTCATAGTGCATTACAGCCTTTTCTAAGCAGTTTTCAGAGTCAGCATATTGCCCCCAACAATCTGGGTCCTAATTTTACCGACCTTGGAAGGATGGAAGGCTGACCTTGAGCCGGTCAGGATCGAACTCCTGGCAATGAGCAGAGTTAGCCTACAATACTGCATGCTAACCACTGTGCCACCATGGCTTGTGGTCACTGCAATTGTCACAGATATGAGCCCATTGCCAAGCATCTAAATTCTGACCATGTGACCATGGGGATGTTGCAATGATTATAGGTGAAAAACAGTCATAAGTCACTTTTTTCAGTGCCATTGTAACTTTGAACGGTCATTAAACCAAAGTGTTCTAAGTCAAGGACTATCTGTATCAAAGAAATGGTCATCACAGGCCTTCATCAGCATGCCATTTTTCAATTCTTCCCAGAGTAAGCAATGATTCTTTTGTAGAGGGAAATTTATAGCGTACATGTGAATTATACTATGGGCATTTCCTTCCACAGTTTACTAAGACCTTGTTAGTGTGCTATATGTGCATGCACACACAACCACATAAATATTTTGTACGTACTGCTTTTCAAACATAATCTTATTTCTTCTGAACTGGGTCTAAGGAGTGTTATTCAAAATGACAAGGAAAGAGAATTCCAGTATCGTTTCTTTTCTTACCAATAACTGTTGTGTTTGGTTAGCCAAAGCATCGAACAAACTCCAGTTTTCCTACAACGGACAGTTTTATGGAGCCCGGACATATTTCTAAAAGGGGGTCAATCCACCTCAGATAATATATATTCCCCTTAATTTCCAGTGATTGGAGAGTGGTGCAAAATGGAGCTGAAGATGGCACAATAGCCCTACCGATCTATCTATTAAATCTGCCTCTTTCTCTTCCAGCTTTACATGTATTTAAATAAGGTAGAAATAGGCTTCTGAAAATTTGAGAGCAAAGAAATTCCTTTGAACTTCTCTGGGGGAAAATCTCCGTTGAGTTCTTAAAGGCAGATATTTCTTGGTGTCAATAGGAGCATCGTTACTGAAAAAAAACCCAATGGGAAGAATTCCCTCATGATGACTTCTTTGGGGACTGAAATGAATCATGGGAAGTCATTGCTGGTTGCTAGTGACATGTTATATAGCAAAAGAAGATTTCATGCACATACGCCTTGCCTTTTAAAAGCAAGGAAATTGCATTCTACCTAAAGGTAGTCCTCGACTTACAACCACAATTGAGACAAAATTTATGTTGCTAAGCAAGACAGTTCTTAAGTGAGTTTTGTCCCATTTTATGACCTTTCTTGCCACAGTTGTTAAGTGAATCACTGCAGTGGTTCAGTTAGTAATATGGTTGTTCAGTGAATCTGGCTTCCCCATTGACTTTGCTTGTCAGAAGAGCACAAAAAAGGATCACATGACCCTGGGACATTGCAACCAGTCATAAATACATCCCAGTTGCCAAGTATCTGAATTTTGATCATGTGACCATGGCGATGCTCTAAGTGTGAAAAACATCACAGGTCACTTTTTTCAGTGCTGTTGTAACTTCAAATGGTCACTAAATGAATGGTTGTAAATCAAGACTACCTGCATTTTTTTTTTCTGGAATATTGATCATTAAAAGAAATATCCAAAATAAATTCCCTTTCATCAAATTGAATGAGAACTATTTTTAATAATTTAAAAAAAGCTGGCACTAATATAAAGGTTCTCAATTAGATGATGACAATTTATTAGTCAAAAATATTTGGCTTATGCAGTCGTCCTATGTAGATATATTTGTTTTTCTATTGCAGGACAGTTAAATGTTGGTTTTTTGAGCTGGTCTTCACATGACAGCTGTTCTTTTCATTCCACAAAGATAGGTGTTTCCACTGGAACAAAGCTAGTTGAGATAACTTATAGTAAAGCCTGTGACTCCAGGAGGAATACACAGAAGTAAAAGAGGGCAGAGTAAATATTGTGAAGGAGAAGAAAGCCTTAAGAAGGAGGATGTTGCTTTTGATTTATCTTCCAGTTAGGCCTAGCACAAAAATAACAATGATGGTTTCAAAGTCATCCAAATGTGGTTTTCAGTTTGGCTCTTCTTTTATTAAATAAGTAAGAATCTGTTGCCAAAATTATACAGAAAAATATAAACAGGATAAATTATTCAAAAAACAGAATGAAGGATTTAAAAGGTATCCCAGTCTCCTCAAATCCTCCTTTCTTGACAGAGGAGTTGATGTGTCACAGAGGGATCTCCAACACGTCTTATAAGCAATTCACTTTCTTGACGTAACAGAACTTCCTCCTAAATAACTGTGATAATAAATCATCCAAAGAAGTTAATGGGGGTGGGGGGTGGGGGAAGAGAAGGATTTGAAAACTTTCTTTTTCAGCTGCTGGGTGTTAACAGAAAAAGCCAGCTATGTGGCGGGGGGGGGGGGGGGTCCATACATTTGAGAATGGCCTAATACATTTTGTCTCAGTAGCTGCCAGCTCCTGGCAGACATTGTCTTCAGACTCTAAAGTGGGTTAGGGCTAGTTGGCTTGGATGGAGACTCCAAGAAAAATCAGGGCTGTAGGAGGTCAGTAAAAGAATATCCCGGAAGAAAGCAAGGACAAAGCACTTTGGGTAGCTGCCAAGAAAACAATATGGATGTTTCTATGGAGTGTCCAGTTTGACCTGCAGCAGACTGACCTTTACTCATCCATGTTTAATAGCTGTCGCAAGAGTTACAGAATGCATCTCCAAATTTCAGCTGTTGAGTTGCATGAATAGATGGCCTCACTTCTACCTTTTCCAAGAGTTATCTTAAGAATCCCCATCTTTCCACATCTTGCATTTCAGGATGGCAACATTCTCCCGCTCCTAAAACACTTGCCTTTGGAACCTTCATACATTTTTAGGCTCCAGAACTCCTAAAACAATAGTTGAGTTCCCACAAGATTGGCTCATATGTGGCTCAGGGTGTTGTGTGACCACCACCCCCAGACAGATAATTAATTATGAGTTACCATGGAAAAGAGGATGTCCCCTGCAAGTACTGTTGTATACATGTAGCATTTTTATGCCTTAACGCAGGGTGAACTTTACAATTGCAACACACTCACTCCTTCTGTGTATTTTACTGCATCTGCAAAGAATCTGTATCTGTCACTTTGCTTACAGGAGCTGACATACAAAATAGGTTGTGGATCCAGAACCAATTCAATTATCAGAGATGCTTTTTTCCCCTGGAGAACTGGGAAAGAATAGTTTTGGAAGTTCCTACAGCCACTTTTCCTTCCCGTACTGCCCAGGAATTCCTTTCCACCAAGAACAAATGTTTTCTAAGGCAAATTGAACTCGCCTAGATCAAAGTCTTCCCCAAAGATTTTGTTCCAGTTTATCTATAAAATAAACCTCAAGACAATATTCCACCAGTGACTGGTCCAAAGATATGCAAACAGCTTTCATGGCTGAATGTGGGTTTCAACATGAGTTTCTCCAGTCTTGATCCAACACCCTAACTATAGGATGGCCCTCACATATCAGAGGGCTAGTGAATCACAGTATATTGCAGCTGGGAAAATTCCACCTCTTTTCCTCCCAGCTACAATATATTGTAGTGCATTCCCTGCCATGTTAAGATTGCAGCTAAATTCAGAGGCAACAGATGCCAACATTACTGATAATAAACAAGTCCCAGTGCTTCATCCCTGTGAGTTTTGGCTCTACTACAGTACTGATCATCAGTCATCTTAATCCAATGTTGGCTATGTCAGGTTTGATGTAGTCCCTACATCAATTTTACGGGAGAAATCTGTTACATGAAGTTGATGTTTGACTGGGCTGGCTCAGATTTTGACAGGAGTTACTAGATTTGTGTGTGGCTGGCCAAGCTGAAACAAATGAACATCAGGTAGAGGCCTTCTTTCTTAGGAATCTTCTGGTTCTGGATTCAGCCCATTCATCCATTTAAGCCATTGAATACTTCCATTCAAGCATATCTTTTATATACTTCCAATGCCAATTGAGACTTTTAGAGTTGTATTTTCTTTTTGGACTCTATATATGTTCCAATATATTTGATTGTTCTTCATTATAGAGTTCTTCCTTGCTCCTGCCTCCTATTTATCCTGTTTTGAGTTTAGTTCTTCCCAGGGGTGAAATGCTACCGGTTCGGGCTGATTCGCCGAAACCGGTAGTAACAAATGTGACTGGTTCGCCGAACCGGTAGTAAAAATGCTTTAAAAAGTAAAAAAAAAAAAGTTCCGACAATGGCGTGGCACAGCTGATCGTCTGAACTTTTTTTTTTTTTACTTTTTTTAAGCATTTTTTTAACTACCCATTCAGGCAATAGATAGTAAAAAAAAATGCTTTAAAAAAGTAAAAAAGGGTTCAGACAATCAGCTGTGACAATCAGCTGTGCCACGTGATACTTGGAACTTTTTTTTTTTACTTTTTAAAGCATTTTTTTACTACCTATTGGGGGAAGTCCATTTTTGCTCCCAGGAGGCTTCCCTGAGCTAGGCCAAAATTGGGGTGAGTGGGGGTCCATTTTTGCTCCCAGGACACTTCCCTGAAGCCTGCTAGGCCAAAAATGGGGGGTGGGGTGCAAAGAAAGAAAGAAAGAAAGAAAGAAAGAAAGAAAGAAAGAAAGAAAGAAAGAAAGAAAGAAAGAAAGAAAGAAAGAAAGAAAGAAAGGAGGGAGGGAGGGAAGGAGGGAAGAAAGAAAGAGAACAAAAGAAAGAAAGGGAGGGAGGGAAAAAGGAGAGGAAGGAAGGACCACAAACCTGGCACTAGACGGAGCTTCAGAGGATACCTTGAAAAAGCACAGCAATCAATCCAGGGCTGGAGGGGACCTGGAGGTCATCTAGTCCAACCCCCTGCTCCGGCAGGACATTGTTAAAGTGAGTTTCTGTATTTTGACCCCCCCAGTCACATGACTACATAGCCACGCCCACCCAGTCACATGACCCCACCCCCCCAAGCCATGCCCAGCATGCCATGCCCACAGAACTGGTAGGAAAATTTTTTAGATTTCACCACTGATTCTTCCATGATTTCTGACATAGGCCTGATTCAAACAGTATGTTAACATATAATTTGCTTTGCTTGTTGTTGTAGGAGATGACCAAGCTGAGCCTGACGGAGGAGTCAAATGCATCATAAATCATGAGTCCCTGCGTGATCTAAATCCAGCCTACCTTGAATGCCTCTCTTATCTCCTGCTCATTTCCCTTGACTGCTAGTTGGTCAGATTCTTGTAGAGAGCTTAAGCTTGCAATAAATCTTTGTACTCATTTGAACTGCCTGACTCTCCTGATTTCCCTGGCTCTTGACAGTTGTTTGCTTAATCTCTTATGTGAGCTCCACCCAATTATAGTTTATTTTTAAAAAACCAGGTTTAAGCAAACCATAGCTTATTGTGACATGAAAATACAGAAAGTGTTTCATGTTCCAGAAATGAGACTAGCTTTTTAAGGGTTCTCTTTCACCTTTCTGTGCTCTTTGAGGTTCCTACAAGAAATTTGAAGTATTCATTTTTGTTTCAAATATAGCTCAGCTTGTTGTGTTAACCAAGCCCAGAGGACTGAGGTAATATAATTGTTGCTTGAAATTGGAGTAGTTCCATTAAACACAACTTTTGAAGCTGCCCTTCTCTCCTAAACTGTAGGTAATTAAGAGAGAAAATAGAAGATTTAATAATCCTTGCAGCCATGCTAGAAAAGTGTGTGATTCTCCAGAATACTTTCCAAAAATACCTTCATGTAGCAGTAAACTGCAGTTTAATGTATCCACAAACTCAACCATTTAGTTACCTACTTCCAACCATTTTTTCCCTGGGAATCACATTAAAATCGATAAAAAGAAAGGAATTGTTCTTATTGCCTTTAGTTTCTTTCTTTTTTTCTAGAAGTATCAATATCTCTCCCCTCACTCTGAAATTATTTATCTGAGGGGTCTCCCTTTCTTAATATTTTCCAGACAGAATCTCTTGCATTTAGCATCAATGGGCTTCATCCTATGCCATAAAACGTCTCTCACAGATGAGAGCAGAAACTCTGCATATGGTAAACCTTCATGATTACACTATGGTACAGAAGAAGCTGCATGCAGCTTAGGGAGGGCTTACTTGATGACAATACAAATCAAATTTAATTAAAATGCTCTAATGTGAAGCACTAAATTCAACAACAACCCATACCCTACCATTTGGACTGAATAGACTACATGGCTACTGTTTCTAACTGAACATTATTTAGAGACTCCTGAGAATAGTTCTCCTGAAGAACATCCAAAGCTGAATACACAATTTGTTGGGCGAATATCTATATCTGCCACCAAATCCTTTCAAAATATTCTTCCAGGTCTGGAAACAATTTCACCCACGTTATCCACTTAGGCCTTCATAATTTTCCAAAGGACCAAATGTGTCTTGTGTTTCTTTATTGATCCATACGGTTCTCTTGTTTGAGCATTAGTTTTGGTTTTAAACGTGAAATATGAACGACTTTCACTTTTGTTACATTTCATAGCCCACACTTCTTGCTCAATCCTAGTTAATACTGCTAGAACACAAGAGTGGCCTGTGACTCACTCCTAGGCCTGGAGTCTTGCTGGAATGGAGACAGATTGCTTGGAAAATGCATCTCAGTCTCTTCTACAAGTCCAGGTTGTCCCCAGGGAACTTTCCCATTTCTGAGGCAAAAACCAAAGATGTTTCTGATAATGAGAGCAAGCCTGTCATTAAAATGAAATGGTAGAATTAGAACCGGGAATGGTTTAAAATGGTACTTTATTGAATCCCTTTTACAAGTCATACAAGGCAGATCTACCAAAGTTGGAAAAGAAGTTATCTACTGAAGATGACAGCTGGCAAATAGCTCTGAATGATATAGGCCCAGAAACAAACCGCTTTTGGTTAAACCATGGTTATTAAAAGCCACAATTTCTTAAGGAAATTAGGAAGTTAATCCTGGTTTGTTGGGCAACTCCTGTTTTGTTTTCTTTGGATCTCTAGGAAGCCAAAACTTTTCTGGCTTTTTTTTCCTTTCCCCCTCCCACTACACTACACACACACACACACACACACACACACACACACACATTGCATAGAATTTTGAAACTTAACAAAATGTGGTGGAACCTGAGTACAGGTAGTCCTCAATTTATGACCACAATTGAGTTTAGCAATTGAGCTTGCTAAGACCGTCATTAAGTGAGTTTTCCCCCATTTTCCCCCATTTCTTGCCACAGTTGTTAAGTGAATCACTGCAGTTGTTAAGTTAGTGACATGGTTCATAAGTGAATCTGGCTTCCCCATTGACTTTGCTTGTCAGGAGGTCACAAAAGGTGATCACATGACCCCAGGACACCGCAACCATCATAAAAATGAGTCAGTTGCCAAGCGTCTGAATTTTGATCATGTGAGCATGGGCATGCTGCAAAGATCATGAAAAACGGTCATAAGTCACTTTTTTTAATGCCGTTGTAATTTGAATGGTCACAAAATGAACTGTTGTAAGTCAAGGATTACCTGAATTTGGGGCTGAGATTTCACAACCTTTCATGATTTTCAAATAGCCCAACGACTTTATAGTTATTCTATGCAGAATTAGAGATGCCAAGCAGTGTTTGTTGCTTCTTAGTATGGATATGAGTTTTATGCACCGATATTCAATGCGTGATATCCACTTTGATGATATAGACAAGTGAATCAACTTGTGTAAGTACATGTGAGTAGTAGTGCAAAGAAATACAGTTTCCTCAAAATAAAACATCCCCTATAATAAGCCCAATCGGGCTTTTGAGCGCATGGCAATAAGGCAAAGCATTTATTTCAGGGTTCAAAAAAATATAAGACAGGGTCTTATTTTTGGGAAAACACGGTAATGCTCCTGCCATTTAGCAAATGCAGCCTCTGGACAAGTTTGTCTTCATAATGCACTCCTCCTACAAATTCCACATGGCATGTTTAGGGGCTGAAGAGTGATGAGGAAGCTAATCTGTTGCAGCAGAAACCATGTGGCTCAGCCCCTCGGTGAAGAAGTTAGCTCTCTCTGCTGATTTTCAAAAACTGTCAAAGATGTAGTTGTTTTAATGAGGCTTCCTCTGATTTTATGACGTCCTTTAAACTTTATTTTTATTCTCTTTATTGCCGTTTTTGGCTTCTATTGTGGCTATTGGTGCTTTGGTGCAGGTTTTTTTTTTTATGTCACCGTGTATGTTCCAAATTGTCCTTTTATATTGTGTTCGAGTCACCGATAATTATTTTTATTGTGGCAGGATAGAAACACACTTACTGTTAGTCCTCAACGTACGACCACAGCTGAGTCCAAAATTCCGGTCGCTGAGAAAGACAGTTGTTAAGTGAGCTTTGCCCCATTTTACGACCTTTCTCGACACAGGTATTAAGTGAATCACTGCAGTTGTTAAATTAGTAACACGGCTGTTAAGTGAATCTGGCTTCCCCATTGACTTTGCTTGTCAGAAGGTCTCAAAAGGGGATTATATGACCCCAGGATACTGCAGCAGTCATAAATACAAGCCAGATGCCAAGCATCCGAATTTTGATCACATGACTGTAGGGATGCTGAAAGAAGTCCTACCGGTAAGTGTGAAAAAACAGTAACTTTATTTATTTACTTATATTTCATGTTTCTTCACCGTACATCTCCCTTCCTCCTTTTGCCTGTCAGAAGGTTGTAAAAGGGGAAATCTCATGACTCCAGGACACTGCAACCATCATAAATATATGCCAGTTCCCATGTGCCCAAATTTTGATCATGTGAACATGGGGATGCTGCCACAGTCATAAGTGTGAAAAATGGTCATAAGTCACTTTTTCCAGTGCCATTGCAATTTTGAATGGTTCCTTAATGAATGATTGTAACTCGAGGACTGCCTGTAATTATACATTTAAATATTTGAAGCATAGCCTTGAGTAGACAAAGTTCCCAGAATATACACAAAAATATATACCTATAGATATCTAAGATATTCCAACATTAAAAAAAAAACTTAAAACAACAATTGATGCACCATGGTGTATGTGTGTATCAGCTCCCCAAAAGCAACACTGTATGTGTGTATCAGCTCCCCAAAAGCAACACTGAAGCCAAAAGGACTTTCTGGTTTTTCTTTGAAGACGTTTTGCTTCTCATCCAAGAAGCTGAAGAATGGATGACTAAGAATCTCTGTAGACACTGAAGCCAAAACATTTTTTTTCTCCAAAATAAATCGTACGTAAATGGGCATTTATGGGCTTATAAAAACCATGGTGACACAGTAATTAGAATGCAGTATTGCAGGTGAACTCGGCGCACAGTCAGGAGTTCGATCCTGACCGGCTCAAGGTTGACTAAGCCTTCCATCCTTCTGAGGTTGTTAAAATGAGGATCCAGAATATTGTTGAGGGCGATATGCTGACTCTGTAAACTGCTTAGAGAGGGCTGTAAAGCATTGTGAAGCGCCTTTAAAGCATTTAAGTCTAAACGCTATTGCTATTATGCAAAAGAAATATAAAGAGAATAGCCCAAAAAGTAATTCAGGAAACAATTGGATGTTAGTTACAGGTCATCTGGATTCTGTTCTGTTCTTTCTCAGACTACAGAAGACAAAACTGTCTGGGAAATAACACCGCAGAGAGCAGAGGACTGGCTCAAAATGGAATTGGGTAGCATCCTTCCCCAGGCACCCTCTTGAAGTCAAGGTGCATAAAGCATAGGCAGAAGCTCTTATGCGATGTGCCTCCCTCTAGCAGCAAGTAGGCATTGTGGTTGCATTGTACAGCAAGAGTAAATGAAATGACTAACCATTTGCCTGAAGCAGCCGACTCACTCTTACTTAATGAAAGGGTCGGTCCTGGAAAGATAATAGCTTGCTTCAGATCACCCAGAAAGTTTGCAGATGAGTTCCACTTACAAGTCTAGCATTTCGCCTTATAGAAAAGCTTATAATTTGCTGTGCATCACACACCAGCTACTTCTTACAACTAAACAAACGCAGCTAACCAGTAAGAGAATGTTTGTAGACATGTGTGGCTTGTTTGTTTAATGTTGATGTTTGTCTCTCCAAATTAAAAAAAGAGAGAGAGAGAGAGAGATGAAGCCTTTAATGTTTGCTATTGAAGCAAGTCGTTAATATTATTAGCCACGTAAGTATCAAGCAGAAAAGGCGAAGGGGGGGGGGACTTTATTCCGTAGCCATAACAAGATTCAAAGAGAATATATGTAGCTTAGAGTAGAACTGTGAAATCCTTGGTTCTCGCTGAGCCTAGTTGTTTTATTTTTTTGCCAAAGTAGTC